TTTAACTTGAATCCAAATCATGGGTAGATGTGAGATTGCATTTAGCAACCTCAAAATGCACAAAAGTCAGGTGGTCTGAGAGCAAAGGCTCAAGATTATCAACATAGAATAGAACAATAATTGACATTTGTTTAGGATTCTTCTTATAATGTAGGCTGAAAATAGAACAATAATTGGTTGTATGATGACACAAAGAGTTCCAATTGCAACTAAAGAAGGGAGGTTGTGAAAGTGGAGAATTGTGCCCTCAAAAAAGAAGATTGAAAAAATGGACAATTTAAAGGAGTGGGGACCTCTCTCTTGTGTTATTGTGAATATTCTCAAAAGCACAATCCTATGCAAAAGAGAAGGTAAGGAGCCAAGGTTTAAAGTAACTTTGGAAAATATCTTCCATGCTTGATTAAAAATGCCTGCTTCCTTCTCTCATATGTTTGTTGCAATAGCCCAAGGTACTTCCTACTAGTAAACCTTCCTTAAGAGCGTTTTTTATGTTACTGTCAATAGTATATTTGATATTTTAAAAAAGTATGAAAATGACATTTTTACATATGTATTCAAATTATAGTGCTATTATTTTCACAAATCACGCGGCTACTACAAATTGAATAACAAACTTTTTGAGAGCCCATTAATCCCAAACAATTAAAATTAAATACCTTTTAGAGTGCATTGACGTAGATTTTTACTTATTATTCTTAATTATTATTTTTTTAATTAAATAACTATATTAATTAAAGATAAACAATAAAAATCAAGACCCGTAAGTTAAGCAATTTTTTTAAGCCCGAAAACACAATGCTCCCAAACATATTTACGGACTGCAACATGTACCATGACGAGTAGACCAAAATTCCCGGATCAAAAGTTGGCTATTATACCATATTTTGTTTAACCAATTTTTGAAACTAGTTGGGATCTTCAATCCCGAGGCTGAAAATTATTGTCTCGTTTATTTCACTGATTTAAGTTTAGAATTCGAGTTTTATTACAGTAAAAAGCTCTCAGAATCAGTCACATCTAACTTTTTTACTACAATAAAAAACTCTCATATAAAGTCACATCTCAACTCAAATTAAAAATTTGAATCAGCGAACTAAACGAGCCTATATGTACGGTTTGTGATTTATTATCAACAGACAGTACAAAAAAATTAGATATAACTTTTTATTAAAAGTGGGAATGCAGCGAAAGCAATTTGAGATTAGAGAAGATGCAAACTGTTGTTGATATTTGTAGCCTAGAAGAGGTTCTCTCTCTTTTACATCAAGCACAAGTGCACAACAAAATGCAGGTATAAACGTGTCAGAAAAAAGAAATAAATATCCCTTAAAAATTAATATGAGTATAGATTTTTTTCTTTTATTATTGATTAATATTATTTTTAATGAAATTATTATATTAATCAAAATGGTATAAATTAAGAATAATTGATGAAAATTCAAAATCACGCTCTTTAAAAGTAAATTCAATAACTTTTTTTAAGGTAATATTAATAAATACCCCTTAAAAGTATATGAATCATAATTTTTATCATTTACTTTTAATTCTTAACTTTTTTAATTAAATAATTATACTTATAAAAAAATGTTTATTAAAAATAAAGAATAAAAATATAAACTCGTACACTTTTAAGGATAAATTATCCATTTTTTCTTTTCTCCTTTTCTTTCTAAAAGCTTTCCACTAAAGATATCAAATGATTGGACCTGACTCATTAGCTTTTGTAAAAAAATAAAAAATGGTACTGCTTTTATTTTTTATTTTTCAAAGATAGACCATAAAAGAATTTATAGATTCAGAATCATAATTCATAATTTTAATTTTTAAAATTTAAAATTTTTACGAGAGAAAAATATTGTAGAGACCTAAGAATCATAATTTAAAACCAGAAACGAACCCTTAAAGTAAACATCCCACTCATGTGCTAAATGTAAAACTACCCCAAAGATGAAACTTATAAAGAAAATTTAGAAATACTTCTCAAATTCCATAAAAGTGTCAATATATCCTTGAAATTAAAAGTGACGTCCCTAGCAACATCTAGTAGGATATAAGAATCCATAAAATCTTTGTCAAATTCCATGTGTCAATATATTCTTTTTAAATTGATTTGATTACGATGTAATCTAATAGTTCACAACTATATCTCACCAGTAGTTTGTTTTTTCATACCCTATCGGAGAATTCTTCAAAAGAAAGAAAAACCACAGAAAGATGTCATCCAAGTACTCCATAGAAGCATTATTCTGAGAATTTCAAGTCTCCTAAACCATTTTCAGAACAGGCATAGAAACTTCAATTTTCAGGGATGACATTTCACATAAGATTTACACGAGGCAAAATTAAAAACTCTGGAAGAAAGAAAAGAAAGGGGAAGGGCCAAAAAAAAAAAAAAAAAAAAAAAAAAAGAGTAAAATCCGAAGAGTATCCTGAAGAAAGAATCTTCAGCATCAAACTTTGAAGCACAAATTTTCCCTGATTCTTTCCGTTTACTTCTGCCCCAGTTCTCAGAAACTAAATAAAATACACGTCCTAATTGACTTGCACCTTCTCTCATCTCCCTTTGTGATGTACAAAGCAGACGGATCACTTTTCGAGTTCGGAGAAGGATATGACACTAGGTACAACAACAGTCGTGTGCGCGAACCGTGGTTTCGTTGGTCATGTAGTATTGAGCTCCATCGTGGTGGCGGTCTTGGCGGGTAGGGTAATACCGCCGCCCCTCAGAGACAAAGTTAGGCCCCTGACTGAACTGGCTCTACTCACAAGGTTCGAGTCCAGAAATACAACTATGACTGTAATGTCATCGTGGAAATGCCGACGTACGCCTCGGTCTATCTTCTTCAAGTCTGAGTACCTCATTTCTCTCTTCTTGGCTGCTTCCTGCAAGGCAACTTTCACAAGCCTTCGAGCGCTTCCCTGCAAAAACAACAAACAAGTAAAATTCCTTCCATTTCTAAAATCGTTCGCAAGTTTCCACATCCCAGCACGAATGCATTTTATCTCAAATTCCAGTGATTAAAAAAGAACATATTATCACAGAAGAAATATTCAGCCAAGTCATTTTCCAATGAGAACGAGATGTGCATCCCATATCCCCGTTTGCTTTGAGAAGCCAATTGATCTGGATTGGTTCCCGGCAATCCAAATCAAATGGTGATAAGTAATAACAGAGATTGAACCAGGCGAGCCATTCGTATATCCCAGGATCGACTCAAACAAAAGCAAAAAAAAAAAAAAAAGGAAGCAGAATCAGCACCAGCTTTATGCTCTTAAGAAAGTACAAAAGCCATGAAAATTTGGTTTAAGAAAATTGTTCAAGACTACCAAGTCTCCTTCATGAAGTATAGGAGCATGGGACATCCACATGGGAAACGACTGACGCATCTCATTCTGCATAAGAAAATTGTAAAGCCTACAGCTCTAGCAGAACAAACTGGTAAAGAGGAACGTTTAGGAGTAACAAGCAATTTACAAAAAACACTATCTAGAAATTCACTTGTTACAAATCTAAAACATAATAAGGACACCTGACTTCTTTTTTTTTTTCACCATGGTGTCAGGGACTTTGCCCGACCAATCCATGCAAAGTGGCCCCTCCACATGGATCGGGTAAATCTCGGGCCTCTGGTTTGCAGATGGCTCAAGAAGTGGATAGCACTTGATGGGAAGCAAACCTCAGACCTAATACTTCCTGAGGCACCAAGTCCAAGTGATTCACCACCTAACTGTTAAAAGCACATACATACAGCATATGCGCTAAAAGAACCAAAAGAGCTCCAAAGTCTTCAATGTCGCTTTGAAATATCAGCATGCGTACCAATAAAATGGTGAACATTACTAGGCCTAGCTAGATCTGTATCAATCTTTTGTCCAATAATTTCACATATGCAAGTCAAACAGATCAAAGGAAATTCTAAATTAACAGGGTGAATATCATACACTGCGTGGGTGATTTTGGACTATATCAACTGCCTCCTGATTGCTAAGGTGCTCCCATAATCCATCAGAGGCAAATATGACAAACTGGTCATGAGGTTGAAGTTCATGTGCAGTGATCGATGGCTCAGAGCTCAAAATCGGCTTTTTAAAAGGTTCTCGAAGACGAAATTTTGCATATAAAGGCTCCCTATTGAATTCAGCCTTTTTTAGATATACATCGCCAATAGATCTAGAAACCTGCAACAAAAGTAGTTAAAAGATATAACATCTATCAGATAGAACCAAAGAAAGTCAGCAATATAGATTGAAATTACCTGTCAATAATCTACAAACCACAAGAACATCAAAGCTGGGTTTTGTTTTTCTATGAAAACAAAATGGGTTGGCTAATTTTTTATCCTCCTTAAAATATAGCCTATTTCTCTTAGAGCGCTGGGTGAGTGTGACCAAGGAGTTCTTCCACAACTATGCTCTAAACACTAATTTTGACATGAAGGAAAAGAAGGAAGGAACGTGGTAGACGGATGGTTGGATGCAAAACGGTATAATGGCTTGTTTGGTAGGAAAGAAAGACAAGAAAAAAGAACAAAAACAAGTACTAATGGACCCCGCAATTCATATCCATCCAAAGTTGGGGAGATTTAAAAAAAAAAAAAAAAAAAACCTTAGATTCAAGGCTTGATATAGTAGTTAATTTATTTGGCCGTATCTTAAAAGACAAAATGATACAAATAAACGGGTAAAACAGTAATTTTTCAATCACGCCTTTTGTTTCCTTAATAACACAACAGAAAAACAAAATCATTACTGTTATTCCTATTTTCTATGTCATGTACTTTTCCCCTTTCTTAACAAATATATCCCCTATCATATATTCATGTTAATATCACTTTTAACTCCACCCGTCACCGTAAAAGTTCAGCAACTTCTTTGAAATTTTTAACTCCTTATCAGTGGCACATTGTTATTTCATCCGAAATAGATTATATCATCTACTAGAGGAATCTAAATTCATTCTCAAATTGTTAAAATCACCGCTTGTTACCTGTATCAAACCCTTGACACGCCATACATTATGCTTTAAAACGACAATCTGCGAGTCATCGGGGTGCAAAGAATACATTTCTTGTCTAACAGATTCTAGGCCAACATTGTGCTCTGACGACAGCTGGATGGCAAGAACCTCTCCGGTTGCCTTCACAAGTCTCCCCAACACGGCCCGAGAATCTCCAAGGTTGGCAACATATAGCGTGCCTCCACAGATCACACCAACAAGGCAGCAGGATCCGACAGCTGCGAGTTGTGGCTTCATAGACCACTGTTTCGTGACAACGGACATAAAGCCCTCTTCAGTGGCTTGATATGCTTTACGGATCACATCAGTTGACATGGACTGTTGTTCTGAAGTAAACCCTATCAAAATAAATAAATAACTGAGCAATTAGTGATAGCAATGACCTGATCCTTTAGCTCCAATAGCAAACAGCCTAACACATTGGGATATATGATAAAAACAGCCCTGAAGTTGAAAAATGTTTTTTCGTACAGAACATAAAAACAGACCCCAAGAACAGTGAAGGAATTCGTCAATTTTTTGAGAGAGACTACACTCTTAAGAGGAAATAGGATTTGCTTGGTTCCACCTAATTTTTCAATAAACACATTTACGCTAAAAGGTATGTTTAGGCTAACATTACTTTTGAGATGCTGGAACAGGTGATCGTTGATGTAACGTGACGTCTCAGGACCGCCATGGCCATCATATACTCCGACGAAGGTGCCGTATGGGCCGGAGTCGAGCAAGCTCAATGAACCGGACTCAATCTGGCTCTGATCCTCGAGCAAATTGTTGGCCTGGACAACAGCCATCGAGAATTCACCATTCAAGTGCTGCCCCATGTCTTTGTACCACAGTAACCCATCTTGCCGGCCAGCTGCATCCGAACCCGTGTGGACATACCTGTCCGAGGACGGCCGCCAGCAAGCCCTCAGAAAGTTCATCAACCTTGATAACATCCCTCATTTCACCCGGGCCAGCCTCCTATACCTCCACATCCAAAATGGATGTAAGAACAAACAGTCCAATGAAAAACTCCTGCCCTCCTTAACCTGCACACCAGGTTATACACTATAAATCCAAAATCAACCACATAGCTTTGGAAACAAAAGAACTTATCTTGTACAACTTAACAACCAAAAAAAAAAAATCATCTTTCAAAATTTCACTCCAACCTCCATTTCTGCTCCAAAACATCAAGCAACCATAAAAATTAGCCACAGTAAAATCTACCTTTACATTCTACTATACGACTATAAAAAATTAATCACTCACACCAAAGATCAAGTTAAGAATTCAGTAGAATTCAAAGCAACTTAGGACACCCAATGTCAAGATTTCAGTTAACAATCCCCATTAAGCTAGCACCCAAAACCCAACATCCATTTCTGCTCAAAAACTTCACAGCAACCAAAAAAATTAAAATATACCCCTACATTCTACTCTACAACCATAAAAATTATTCATTCGCACCCAATTTTTCAACAACCCAGAAAACACCCAATATCATGTTAAAGATTCAGAAGAGTCCAAAGCACCTTAGAACACCCAATATCAAGATTTCTGTCAACATCCCCATTATGGCCTAAAATCCAAAACCCAACTTCCATTTCTGCTTCAAAACAACCATAAAAACTAGCCACTGTAAAATTAACCTCTAATTCTAATCTACAGCCACAAAAAATCTTGCCCTCACACCCAATATTCAGCGACTTAGGAAACACCCAATATCAAGTTAAGGATTCAGAAGAATTCAAAGCAACTTAGAACACCCAATATCTAGATTTCAGTTAACAATCCCCATTAAGGGTCTAACATCCAAAACCCAACTTCCATTTATGCTCAAAAACCTCAAAACAAACCACCAAGAAAGGACACTCAAATGAATTGACCCAAAACCAGCCACAATAAATTCCAACTCCACATTCTACTCTACACCCACAAAATAGTGAGCCACAGCCAATACCAAGTCAAATATTCAGCACAATTCAAACCCAAAAAAACCAATCACACAAAATCAACAATGGATTCTAGAAATAAGATAAAAAAAATAAAAATAAAAAAAGAAGGGGAAAATAAACTTACAGTATGATACAGTTAGGAAGTTTGATCAGTCAGAGGAAAACAACGACGGAGATCTAAAAGAAACAGAGCAATACATGTGGGTTCGAAAGCGTTAGATCTATAGATCGATCAAATCAAACTTCTGGGCAAAAGGGTTTTTTCTTTTTTGGATATGGGTCAGACCTTTTTCTTTTTAGGAGGTTTATTGTAATTATTGAAGAGGAAGATGGAAGAGATAATTGAAGAAGAAGAAGAAAGAGAGCTCTCAAATCAGTGTGATTGGAACGAACTGAAAACTTTCTCTTTTGAGATTTTTTTTTTTGTTTTTGTTTTGGGTTTGGTGATTTTCTTTTCTTTTCTCTGTGGTCTTTCTCAGGAGACAAACACCCTATAAAAGAAAACGAGCATAGCGATGGCTGAAAGCCAGCAATGCATATGAGCAGCCATGGGCTCCACATATAACCAAAGAAAGAGAAAGTAGATAGAAAGACGGAGGGAAGCAAAACATATATATTTTTAATATTTTTCTTTTTGAAGAATTCTTTTAATACATTAATATTCAATCTTTTTTTTGAATTTTTTTCCTTTTATTTTATTTGACAATAAAAAAAATATTATAACAAGATAGAAAAAATGTTCAAAGAAAAGTTAGAAAAAGAGTGGCCTCGTTCATTTCACCGATTCGAGTTTTCAGTTCTAGATTTTTACAGTAAAAAACTCTCAGAAAATGTCACATCTAACCTTTTTTGCTACAATAAAAAACTCTAAAAAAATATCACATCTCAACTCGAATTGAAAACTCGAATCCGCAAAATAAACGATGCCATAAAGATTCACTCGTTAAGTAGAGTTGCGTCCTCTGTCAAGATCCAGTAATTTTACTTTGGATGTGTGGGACGGGGGAGATTGGAAGATAAAAAAAAAATAATAGAAAAATATGTTGAAAGTGAGCGTGAGTGCTTACATCTCCTTGATGATGTCTGAATCCCTTATATTTATAACTAATGAGGCTCTATAGTTATTTTCCGTTTCCTTAGGTGATTTAGCCTTCAATGCGTGATCCTTGCTTTCTTTTTGGGTGATATCCGACCACCATTTGCAGATTCACCTTCCCGTTGACCTATCAAACATGGTTAGTTGTCTATTATGAGTTGATTCTAGAGCGGCTATTGAGGATTTAGTTTTCTTATGTGGAAGACAATCAAATTCACTCGATAAACGCGTTGTTTGCGACCTAAGTTAGCCGTTAACCTTTTTCTCCTTGATTTCTCTAGTTTTACTGGTTGATTCCTTTCTTTTCATATATTAACATTCGATTTTTTAATAAAAAAAATATTCAGTTTCTTTAAAGTAAAATATACAAATTTTTTTCTTTGATTCATAATAATAATAATAATAACAACAATTTATATATAATAGAATAAGAAAAGATATTTGTTAGTGTTACGGAGTACACGAGCCATTAAGAAAAGATACGTAATAAATTTTCTTTATATGATTATTTTTTAATAATAATAGTACAATGATAATGATCATGATGTTTTGTTATTTGCTCGGAACTCCTCGCTTTAACATTATTTTGTATTTTTTTAAGCGCATTATAAGTTAGGTCAAATAGTTCTTTTTCCTCCTCCATCAAAGTGCCTTTCTTCATCTCCTTTTTTATTTATATTTATATTTTTTTGTTCTTTCCAATTTCCAAATTCCATCCACAAGAGAAAAAGGTGGAAATTAAAAAAATCTCTTTTTATAAGCTTGATTTGATAACATATAATCTATTGGGGCACTTTCTATCCTTAGACTTATTGAACACGCTATGAAAAACTTTATTATTATTATTATTATTATTATTATTATTATTATTATTATTATTGTTTGTGTGAGAGAAATTAAAACACAATTAAAAGATATCCTTCCAAATGAAAATAAAATAGAATGAGAGAAATCTTCCTTACATTGATTGATTGTGTTTTTCTTCCTTATTGCTTGAAAAATTCATTTTCAAGATAACAATTTTTGTCAATCAAAAATTTTCAAATAGCAAAACATCAATTATGCTGATCCTTTGGCTTTGACATTACGTCCATGTGGACAAATCTATGACTTATGGGTTTCAATTCCAAACCGCCACCACTTCCACTTTGGTTTTCAGGGCTCAAAACAACGGCAAATCAATGCCATGAAAGTGCTTTTCCAATCCTCATCTTTTTTCTTATATTATCTCCGTTTCACATTAGTACATGTATTTCTTGGGGTGTGAATTTTATTTGCTCTTTCATTGGATTATTTCATATACACATTTTTTTTGGTTTTATTCGGAGATTCAAATCTTGATAACTCAGTATAAAAGATCTAATCGATGAATGGGTTGTGCGGCGCGTTAGTTAGATTAGACCCTTCTTTGCCATAGGTGAACATGACAATTTTAGTTATAAACAATAAGAACTCGTTCATTTTATTGATTTAAATTTTTAATTTTAATTTTATTACAGTTAAAAATTCTTATAAAAAATCATATTTAATTTTTTTATTACAGTTAAAAATTCTCACGTAAAGTCACATTTTAACTCGACTTAAAAATTTAAATTGATAAATTAAACGGGAGGGATCTAAATATGAAGAGGGATGACACTTTATTGCTTTTCCATTTTTTTTTTATATACAAATTTGTTGTTTTATTTATGTGTCAGCGAATTGGTAAATATCTCCCTCTCTTTTTATTGGTTCAACTCCAACGATATTTTTATCTTGCGTGTCGATTGAGTATTATTTTGCATGGGCAACACCTAATACCTAATAACAAACAATCCCAACAAAAATGTGTTTTTTCCTGTGCCGTTGGAGCGCATAGGTGTCCATTTACTAGGAAAAGCGAGGACAGGTGTCAAACAACAAAACATAGCAAGTGACAAGTGCCAAAACATTTGTGGAATATCTCAAATCTTGAAACAATTTTCTGGCTGTTAAAGAAGAAGATATTTTCACAACCTTAGCACATTTTGGGTCAAAAGTCAACATTTTGATTTTGAGGTAAAAGGGCAGGACTTGGGAGAAAGTCGTCATGGCTGCCAAAGACATTTGCCTTTTTTCTTCATACACACGTGAGTGTATATATAGGTATATATAACATATATGTACGGTATTGAATTCAATCCCAAAATGTATTATCTTAAAAAGTTTGCAAGAAAATTGAGGAAATAAAAAGTGTGTAATTTGATTTCAATGGCTTCTTTTTTATATCTAATCCAAATGTCCAAATGGGCAATATTTAAGTCCACCGACCAGATTTATATTTCTTGTGCCTTGGCGACGGTATAAGGTAAGACCCTTTCTAATATTTATATGTAATTTTGTGAATTTTATAATGACTTTGACGCCCCATGGTCAATGATAAAAGCCATCTATGACAATATAAAATAATTTAAGCAAAATAATAATTTTAACGATATCAACAACATTAAGTTGCGCTCATTTCACCGATTCGAGTTTAAAATTCGAGTTTTGCTACAGTAAAAAGCTCTCGGAAACAGTCATTTCTAATTTTTTTACTACAATAAAAACTCTCACATAAAGTCACTTCTCAACTCAAATTAAAAAACTCAAATAGTGAACTAAACGGGCTTTTAATAAATCAAATAATACAACAAGTCCTCAAACAAAGCAGCACACAGTTTAAATTTGAGCAAGAAAGCAGAATCCAAAAGCTAAACTCAATTGGCCTTTGTTTTTTTTTTTTTTTTTTTTTTTAAAAAATAATGTGCTAGGTTACAGAAACACCTTATCAAATTGCATTGTTTTATTTGGGAAAGAAATTAGCGAAATTTAGTAAAAATATAACAGTATAGAACCATGCAATACCAATAGAGTATTTTTTTTTAAGCTTTGTAAGAAATTCTCTTACTTTAGTTTATTTCTTTTTTTATTAATTAATATCCTTAAAAGAGATGTTTTAGCGTTTAGAAGACCAAGTTAACTTTTGTTTATATAAAGGAAAATATGTTTTCTTAAATTTTGGATGACTCTGAATGTCTTACCACAATAAAGATAAAGTTCTCCCATGTTATATTCCCTTTTCACTCTGATTAATAAGAAAAAAAATAAAGAAAGAAAGAGTTTACACTTATTAAAGAAATTGTCAGCTTTGCAAAGGGGAAAAACAAACATGCATAAAAAATTTGGTAGCCACTTCTATTGTCATACAATGAAATCAAATTGATACTCAAATCTCTCTTTCTCTACTTAAAAAATAAAACAAAACAAAAAAAACAAAGGAAGAAAGAAAAAAAAAAAAAAAAAAAAAAAGAAAAAAAATTTTTTTTTATAAAAAAAAAAAAAAAAAAAAAAAAAAAACGTTGGTGCTTTTAGTTGGAATGAGGACAGAACATTTGTGTCTTATTGCTATAATGGCTCAAGTGCTCTATATTTATGTGTCTATAGGGCTTGTTCTTTTGATGAAAAACTCAAAAAATGTAACTTGAGTTATAATTTTATTCGAATTCATGTTCTTTTAAGTTTAAACTCGAGTTTAAGTTTCCCCTTCAACTCGAGTTCAGAAACTCGAACTCAAATTAATGAACAGTATTTTTTCTATTCTTAAAAATGCTATAACTTTTTCGTTTTAATTCTGATTGAGATGATTTTTTTTCTATGCGTTGACAACGAAAAGACGAATAAAACCCGACCCATATACCCTATTAAAATTTTTCATCAGCATTGAGTTTTTATTAAAATACTATCTAAATACAAATTCAAGTTTTAACTTACTCAAACACAAACTCAAAAAGATTCTTATCTCAAACCATAACTCAAATGTACACAATCAAACACAAACTCAAGTTACAGCTCAAATTCAACTCAAGAATTATACCCAAGTTAAACTTTAAAAGAACAAGCCCTATATTTTTGGCTCTATTTTTGTTTTCTTCATGTTGAAGAAATAGCAGTTTCTGTTTGTTGAACCAAAGCATGAGAGATAGAGAGCCAAAAAAGAAGGAAAAAGAAAAAGAGAAAAAAAAAAGTAAAGACAAAGTCAATTTGTCATTGTCAAAGTTCACAATTAAGAAGATGGTATGCCCAAAAGTTGCCCCAATTCGTTGCCTTACATTTCAACATCATTTAGGCACTTGTTAAGGAGACTATGGACAAGAAGTATTGATAGACTTAGGCAATTATGAAGGAATGCAAAAGCTAATTCATCTCTTTCAAAAAAGCCTCCAAAGAGTGACACTTTTGTATAAAAAATGTTGATGTGCAATCTGTGATTAGATTAGACCGGTGGTGGCACAGTGGAGGAGAGATCGGTGACAAGGAGAAGAGCGGATTGTGACGGGTTTTGGGGCATTGGAATGAAGGCTGGGAAATGCTAGGGTTTAGAACCTTTTCATGTGGTATTAGATTCCTAGATTATGAAAACCATCTTATTGGGTGAGTTTTGGATTATAATGGACTTAACTTTCAAGTTCAAAAAGACCAATAATTGTACTAAGCACGAAAATCTTTCAATTCTCATTCTCATCCGACAAGATATTTTTAAATTTGCATCAGAAAGATTACAATCAAATGGGTAATTGTCAAGAGAGGGGGGAAAAAAAAGAGGTGCTATGTTCAAAAGCCAATAAACTATAAAGCTTCAACATGTAAGCCTTATATGTAGTGAAAGCAATAGTGTGTAGAGTGAAAAATGATTAAGCATATAGATTGAAAGTGTGGACGATGAAAAATAAAAACGGTGACTCACGTGTCATGTCTGCCATGACGATAAACACTAAGAAGTTCCTTTTTATGGATAAAAAATTTAAATGCATTTCATATGAGAGAAAACCTAAAGATCACACCTGAGAAAATATGCTCATAATATATGGTCATTGAATGATGTATTGCAAATGAGAATATAAGAACCATTCATTTCATGTTTGATTTCAACTTTTTTTTTTTAAATTAACAGAATACCCCCCTCACATAATGGTTGAATTTGACATGTTAGACCTTAAAAACAAAAATTGTAGTTCCATAATAAATATTGGCTAAGGCTTATCTTTTAAGAATTTTTATTCTATCCATTTGCTTCTTGCTTGTAGAAGTTTTCTTAAAAAAAGAAAAAGTAGAAGAGAGATTCTGTTCCTCCTCTATGTTGAATTAGTGATCGTCATGGCTAGTCCAACAAATTGAATCTGTCTAATTGATCCAATAACAAAATGGTAGCATAATCCCATGGCTAAAAAGAATTAGCCCATGGACATAATTAAATGATTTTACCAAGTTAGAATCATATTAAATTAACAAAAAGAAGACGTAATTCGACCAAGCTTAATAAAAATCTAACAATTTAAAGTTGTAATTATTAAATTAACAAAAAAATCAAAATTTATTTAAATTTATACCATATTAGGTAAAGATCATTAACCATTCTAAGCATATTTGTTTGACCGTATTAGAGTACCGTATTGTATAGTAATACAATAATACAATGTTTAGTGTGACCATCGTATTATATAAATTAGTATGAATGGTAAATTAGTACGGTCTATGTCGTATTATTGAATACGGCTTATTTTTGACGTATTCTATTATATTATTTTATTATAAATCAATGAATCATGCCAGGAATGGGTATGACTAGAAGTCGGGGTTGGGTTAACATAGGATCATGCCGGAGCTTATAATTGTTGAAAAATTTAGGGTGCACAATGCAAATTTTATATTTATTATAAATTATATTTTAACCCCAAAACTTTTATAAAATTACCTTTTGACCCCAAAACTTTTATAAAATTACACTGACCCTAAAATTTTCATAAAATTTTATTTTGACACCAAAGCTTTTGAAAATTATATTTTGACTCCAAAATTTTTAAAAATTTGCATTTTGACCTCAAATTATTAAAATTTTACATTTTGATCTCTTATACAATACATCATGATACCGTATTGTATTATGATAATACAACATAATATAATACACTTTATTCAATACAATATAAGCTACTAAACATGACTTTTGTGTCCAACTATAATGCCCCATGTATTGCCTATTTGCCTATCATATTTGTACTAAGCCAAACAAGGCATAAGGTTGCTTGCTCACAAGGATTTGAGTCCGTTCCAACTCTCAATACAATGCTCGGGATGGATAAACCATGTACTTTGTAAACGATTCTTATGTGATGTGGGACTTTTTTTAATAAGAAAAAATTTCATTGGTGTCATTCCATTCTATTCTTCCCATCCCATTTTCACCGGGAGAGAAAAGAAAAGAAAAAAAATATTTTATGAATATGTTTTATTCTAAACCTTTAGAGTTGGTTTAATACTAATAAGGGCGCCAAATTGCGAGTGCTATCGTATAATAAAATAAGATAAAGGCTGCACATGAAGCTGTGGGACTTGAGCTAGTGGCATGATACAAATCGTTCGCTGTTCTTCTTCACCAATTCTTTTTTATCGGCTTCCGTTCATCATTTAAATCTAACAGTCTTCCTTGGCGCGGCAAGCACTTTAGGATGTATGATTACTACGAATTAGGGCTACAAGGACGAAACAAGCATTGAATTGTAGGAGACATAGGGCCACCCCTACCGCCTTCTGTCATGTACTATTATATGATTTTCAAAGACAAAATATGAGCTTTCTACGGTTACCGTAGTACATGTTCTTAAACATAGGTATGTTCATTTAATAGCTCAAGTTATAACTTGAGTTATGATTTAAGTTGTGCATGTGAGAGAAAAATATTATAACAAAAAAGTTAAATATGAATTTTTAAGAAAGAAAACACTGTAACAATAAAATTTAAATTGTGACTTGAGTTGTGAATGAACAAAGAATAAATTTGATTAAAATCACATCAAAAAAAGACGTATGCAAAATTCACATATCTTAATATAAATTTAGGCATCATTCATTTTACTGATTTGAGCTTTTAATTCGAGTTGAAATATGACTTTATATAAAAGTTTTAAACTGTAATAGAAAAAGTTAAATGTGTCTTTTTGTGAGAATTTTTAACTGTAATAAAACTGAAATTAAAAATTTAATTGATAAAATGAACGAAATCTTAATAATTCAAATCAAAGATTTTCGCCCCGGTGGGTATCTTTTCATATCCTACTATAAACATCTCAAAAAGAAAGGGGAAGAAATGCAAAGGAAAAGCCGAATGGGGATGGAATTGGAGAGGGTATAGATGAAAATATTTTTGATAATCATGGACATTATCATAAACATCCGCACCTTCTAGAAATTGCATAAAACAACCCCTGCCTCCCCTTTCCTTCGCCGTGTTTTCTCGGCGCACTTCCGTTTTCCATTGACAATTTTCCCAGGAACCAAACAAGCCCACAAACAAGGAAAAAAGGGGAAAACCAGAGAACAGAATATCCGATTCTTTGTACGATTATGGAAATCTAACTAAGCTAATGTCTCTGCATGCTTCTCTTCTCGGCCGATTCCAATCTCTCCGAAGATCGTAATCCGATTTCCTGTCCAATTCGAACTGCAATTTCCACATGAAGAAGAAATTCTTAGAATTGGATCTCGTCTACTCCAAATCTCACCATAGAAATCCCAAATTCTGGATATTCGAACCCTAATTTTGCAGAATCTCTCCTCCACCGCCATGGAACTGCCTCAATTGAGCTTGGCCGCCGCGGTGCCGCCTTTCGCCGCCGGAAACGGAAGGAATCTCTCTCCTCCGCCGTCTCCCGATGGCGGCGAAGATTACGCCGCGTGGTACGGCAACATCCAGTACCTGCTTAACATATCGGCGATCGGCGCGTTCTTCTGCGTGTTCATCTTCGTCTTCGTGAAGCTCCGGAGCGACCACAACCGCATGCCCGGCCCCTCCGCTCTCGCCGCGAAGCTCCTCGCCGTCTGGCACGCCACCGGCCGGGAGATCGCGCGCCACTGCGGCGCCGACGCCGCGCAGTTCCTCTTGATCGAGGGCGGAAGCTGCGGGTTGCTCCTCTCCATAGCTGTCCTTTCGATACTGGTGATGCTTCCGCTCAATCTCTACGCGGGGAAAGCTCTGCTGAGCGATGAATTCTCGAAGACGACGATAATCCACATCGATAAAGGTTCGGCTTTGCTCTGGATTCATTTTCTTTTCGTTGTGGTTGTTGTTATTATGGTGCATTTTGGAATTTCCGCCATTGAAGAACGGTCGAAGATTACTAGATTTAGAGATGGAAATGGGAATTTGAGTGATCCGACCGCGGATTCCACCTCCATTTTTACCGTAATGGTGCAGGGGATACCGAAAACCTTAGGCTCTGATAGGACTTTGTTGCAAGAGTATTTTCAGCATAAGTATCCTGGCAAGGTCTTTAGGGTTATTTTGCCAATGGATTTATGCGCATTGGACGATTTAGCCGCAGAATTGGTAAGGGTTAGGGATGAAATTACATGGTTAGTGGCTAGAATGGACTCTCGGCTTTTGCCAGAAGAAGTTGAACATGGAAATGGAAGGGGTTGTTTGGATAGTTTGCGGGGTCGAGTTCGTCATCTATGGAAGAAAGTGCAAAATTTCTGGGATCGGATAATGGCTAGCTTAGGTTACACCGACGAAGAGAGGCTAAGAAAATTGCAGGAATTGAGAGCTGAATTGGAGACGGAACTGGCAGCTTACAAAGAAGGGTGCGCATTGGGTGCTGGAGTTGCATTCGTGGTGTTTAAGGACGTGTACACTACGAATAAAGCAGTACAAGACTTTCGGAATGACAGGAAGAGAAGGATAGGGAAATTCTTCTCTCTTGTGGAATTGCGTTTGCAGAGGAACCAATGGAAAGTTGAGAGGGCGCCTTTGGCGACTGACATTTACTGGAATCACTTGGGATCATCGAAGATGTCTCTGAGATTACGGAGGGTGATAGTAAACACGTGCCTGCTGTTGATGCTTCTGTTCTTTAGCTCTCCTCTCGCCGTTATCAGTGCGGTGAAGAGTGCTGGTCGGATTATCAATGCTGAAGCTATGGACAACGCCCAGTTGTGGTTAGTTTGGGTGCAAAGCTCGAGTTGGCTTGGAAGCCTTATCTTTCAGTTCCTGCCAAATGTGATGGTATTTGTGAGCATGTATATAGTGATTCCTTCGGCTCTTTCCTATCTATCCAAGTTTGAAAGACATCTTACGGTGTCTGGGGAGCAAAGAGCCGCGCTTTTGAAGATGGTTTGTTTCTTCCTGGTGAATCTAATTCTCCTTAGGGGCCTAGTCGAGTCGTCGTTGGAGAGCACCATCCTGCGAATGGGTCGGTGCTATTTGGATGGAGAAGATTGCAAGAGGATTGAACAATACATGAGTGGCTCTTTCTTGTCAAGGTCGTGCCTCTCGTCTCTCGCATTTCTGATCACAAGTACTTTCTTGGGGATATCTTACGATTTATTGGCTCCAGTACCTTGGATTAAGAGGAAGCTTCAGAAGTTTCGGAAGAACGACATGCTTCAACTTGTCCCGGAACAAACAGAAGAGTACCAACTTGAAAATCAGGAAACAGATGGTCTGCAGAGACCCTTGGTGGCTGACAGCAGCTATGATTCTCCTAGGCTGGATGAAATGGATTCTCAGGGCCAAGATCTTTCCGTATATCCAATCAACAGAACCTCAACCGCCCCAAAGCAGACATTCGATTTTGCGCAATACTACGCATTCAATTTGACAATATTTGCCCTGACATTGATATATTCCTCGTTTGCTCCGCTTGTGGTTCCGGTTGGTGCAGTTTACTTCGGGTACAGATACGTGGTCGATAAGTACAACTTTCTGTTTGTCTATAGAGTCCAAGGCTTTCCCGCCGGGAATGACGGGAAGTTGATGGATACCGTGTTGTGCATCATGCGGTTTTGTGTCGATCTGTTCCTGGTTTCGATGCTCTTGTTCTTTTCGGTTCAAGGAGATTCAACGAAGCTGCAAGCTATATTTACACTTGGATTGCTAGTAATGTACAAGCTTTTGCCTTCTCATAATGATGGTTTTCAGCCAGCTCTTTTGGGTGGCATGCAAACTGTTGACAGCATCGTGGATGGGCCTCTTGATTATGAGATCTTTTCACAGCCTAAGTTTGACTGGGATGTATATTATTCATGATTTATGCTTACTCTCCTCAATGGCCTTATTTATCCCAAAACGAGAGAGAGAGAGAGAGAGAGAGAGAAATTCTTTTACTGATGTCTATATTTAGTTGCATTACTTCTCTATGAAGTTTTATGCCCTCTTTACTCTTATTTTTCTTACTCTACTTTCTCCTTTATTTGGATTCTACAGAATTTTCTGTCATTATTATATGGCCATGTTAATTAATTGCCAAATGGATTAAGGATTAACAATGTCTGCAATCACATTTTGCTGATATGCTTCACACGTCGAGCATAATAAGTCTAGGACAGTGCTAGGGGTAAATGGTACTCCGCGGTCTGCAACATGCGATCCACATATGGGCCCATTGCTTACTTTTTATTAGTTGTAGTGACGGGCCCGCTGTTTATGGTTTTTTTTTTTTTTTTTTTTTTTTTTTTTTTTTTTAAAAAAAAAATTTTATAAAAACTAAAAAAAATAAATTGTGGTTGAAAAAAGGATTGTGGTTAAACCTAAAGAGATAAAAAAAACACAAGTAGTCAAATTAGCAGGCCTATAATCACTCTTGGCCAGGCAAATGTTACCTCTCTATCTCTCTCTCACACACTTGAACATGGTCTGCATTTTTAATGTGATTCCACTTGTTACTGATTCTCTCACTCTCATCTCCTCTCTCTCTCTCTCTCTCTCTCTCTCTCTCTCTCTCTCATCTTAAACATGTGGTTTTTGAGATCAAAAGAAAATAATAATAATTGTTATTATAATTATTATAAACGTCTGGTTTGTCCTTATGATAACTAACCTATTTGAACCAAGACTGCATAAATAGCAGAAGTTGAAATCCTTAGTGGCAACAAGCCCTTACTTGTACTCATAACACAAACTCGGGCAAAAAAGATTATGCATCATTTAGCAGTGAAGAACAATCTTTTAGACTCCGAATCAGAATCAAACAAGCTCATCTTCGGCAGCAATGATCATCGTCCTCTTTGTCCGAAGCCTCGGCGACTCGGACCATCCATTCCCGAATTCCTCAAGCCTCTTCAGTGTTTCAATCACAGGTCTTAGCATCTCTATAAAGTTCTTTTTTTCTTCTTTTTTTTTTTTTCAAAATTGCTTGATAGTTTACTGGGAAAAAAAAATTACTGACGTTGACCATCAGATTTTTATCAAAGTGTTACATTCACGTACATTTTCAGTCATGTTATGATATTGACATGATCTTAAAATTCAAAACTTCACTTCTGGTTTTTAATCCCATAAATTATCTTTGTACTTTTTTTTTTCACTCTAGCAAAGAGTTTTTTTTTTTTTTTTTTTTTCTCTGAACTCATTATCTGAATTTCTCTCGAACAGCCAAGGAAACACCGATTTAAGAAGCAGAATCTTGAATATGATCATCGACAAGGTTTGGATTTCCAATTCTCATGTACAATCAAAATCTAGGATTATTGTGTAGAAAATGATGTGATTGTTGATGATTCTTCTTAGTGCAGAACGTTGAGGGAAGGGAATGCGTATGTTTACCGACGTGTTACTCCGGTTCGCCGCCGGGAAGGACTGGTAATCCGCTGGTTCACGACGTTCAATTTGCTCAGTTCCAGATGGAGCTTGATCTCTCAACATTGATGCCAAGCAAGCTTCTCCGATGAGTTTTTATTATTTATTATTTTCATTATTTGTTTTTTAATGTTTTGGTCCTGAGACGCCTTGAGAAACGACATCGTAGCGTGTTGAAATTTTGAAGTAATTTTGTAGAGTTTTTTTTCTTTTCTTTTATTTTTTATTTTTTTATTTTCTGTAGATTTGGTAGGAGTAAAAGCCTGTGATATGTATATGTTTTGACATTAATTAATGGAGTCAAATTGTCCTGTAATTATCTACCGCAACTCGAATTATTCCACTAATTAGAGTGATTATACGTGTTTTCCAATATAACTACTAATTAAGTTATGTTGGATGAAGAATGTTCTGAAAGCCATTTTTGATTAATTGAGATAGGTTCTATAACACGTGTTTTTTTTTTTTTTTTTTTTTTTTTGGTTTTTTTTAAAAAATAGCTTAAAGCCAAAAATTTTTTCTTTATCCAGAACTTTTTTTTTTTTTTTTTTTTTTTTTTTTTTTGTTGTTGTTGTCTCTTTCCTACGTACAACTCTGATTTACAATGAACTTTATCTAACGACACACCGTTTATCACAAACGACACCTTTATTTTATCACAAACGTCGTTTATATCGTAATATATGACTGCAATTTGTTCCCCTGAACGTCACAATCTAACACATTCCCATGCATTTTAAGTGCCCGTTTAGTTCGTTAATTCGGGTTTTTAATTCGAGTTAAGATATGAATGTGAGAGCTTTTTACTGTAGTAAAAAGTTAGATGTGATTATTTCTGAGAGCTTTTTACTGTAGCAAAACTCGAATTCTAAACTTAAATCGGTGAAATGAACGGGGCCTAAATTTTCTTTTATACTTTTCCTAATAATTCTTGGAATTACAAACAGAGAAATTGTACGATAAAGGATTAAAAAAAAACTAATGGTAGAGCTATATTTTAAAACGTTAGGCTGTGCAACGTTAGACTTATGATGGTTTCTCTTAACTCTGAAATTACATATTTACGTTGATTCAGGCCTTTTATGTTTCATTGATGAATTTGGGATTTCAGATGAGGAAGAGCAAACTGTTATTAACTTATTTCCGTACAGTGTTGGAGTTTTGGGCCGGCGGGCCTACCCGAAGTATGAATTTTTTGGGTTTGGCGGGCAGGCCCAAAGGCCGGCCCGTTTAACTTTATTTTTCAGGCTCAGGCTCAAGCTGCCCGAAAATGAACAATTCGCCGGAGCCCGCCGCCATGATATTGCCATCAACCGCCGTCCGCCAGTATTTTTTTATATTTTTTCACTCAGGCCCGAACGCCCTGAATTGCCTGAAGCCCGAGCTCGACCAACGGATATATTTTTGACCGTTGGTGCCCGACTCGACCCGAAGCCCGAACTGGCCGAATCCAACGGCTATTTTTTTACCGTTGCCCGATTTTTCGGCCCGAACCCGACCCGCCAAGACAAAAAATTACCGTTGGATCCGAATTTGGGGGGAAAATTCAATTTTTTAACCTAAAAATTTTCCTATAAATACCCCTATCACCGACACATTTTTCTCACCCAAACTCTCTCAATCCCTCTCAATTTCTCTCAATCTCTCTCAATTTCTCTTAATCTCTCTCTATCTCTCTTACAATTTTTCTTAAAACTATCACAATATCCTAAAACTCTATCTCTCAAATCGCTCTTATTTTTTATAATGGATTCTTTTTGTTATAGTGGTATTCCTATTAATGCCCAACACAACGTGGAAGAAGGGCAATTTCCCACTAATGAATTTATTATGTAGGAATTTGATAATCCGAGCATTGGTGGACGTACTGGAGGTCGTGGTCACAATGGTGGTGGGCATGGAGAAGCGGCGAGGGCAAGTGCTACTACGTCTGCAATTGTTGCAACCTCCAAGAGGAAATGCAAGCGTACCTCAACAGTCTCGGATCACTTCGACACAATTAAGGAGATCGACAATGAAGGTAATACTAAACATATAGCTAAGTGTAAATATTATTTATCTAAATTATAAGGTGATACTATTCACGGCACAACACACTTGAGAAAACACTCCAAAAAGTGTTTTCAAAAGCTTAGCCAGTTCAGCGGAGCTAAACTCCGCCGACCACAATTATGTTTTGATCGCGTAACCGGTGGTCTAACCACTTGAAAATACAATCCATAAGTACATCGTACGGAAGTTGCGCGAATGATAACTGCATTAGATCAACCACTTAATTTTGTAGAGCATCCTAATTGGCAACGATATATTAAAGTTGTACATAATCCTAATGCACAGTTCACTTCAAAAACTACTCTTAGTGTTAAAATTATTTAAAAAAGAAAAAGAAGCATTAATAAACCTTTTACACTCGACTAGCGGTTGCGTTACGTTAACTGCATATATTTGGTCTGCCGCTGCCGATAAAGATTATTTAGCTGTAACCGGACATTACTTTAAAGGATTCGATTTAGATAAGAGAATATTAGGTTTTAAATGTGTTTTTGATATATAGTAAATATGAGAATAAGTTTAGAAACATAAACTCTAGAGTACAGGAACCGCAATAAGAAGATGAAAACTCGCATTCATTTTTTAATGTTTTCGAGTTGAAGAAGAAGAAGAAGACGACTCAAACAGAAGCTGGGAGTGGATCTTCATCAATAGGTGGCAGCGGCGGTGGCGACTTTAACAAGCTTATGGCGTACCTTAGTGAGAGCTTAATAGTCGACGATACTAGAGAATCGTTTGACTTAGTTCAATGGTGGAGCGCGCGATCATTAACTTGGCCAATCCTAACTCAATTAGCAATGGATATTTTTTCGATCACAGTCTCCACTGTTTCATTTGAACAAGCTTTCAATACGACCAGACGAATACTTGAGGCATGCCGAAACGCATTGCAAAGGGACATTGTTGAAGCGTTGGTCTGCATTAAGGATTAAGATTGTACCGATCAATGTATACAAGATACAATTTCACCGGCAAGTCAAGAATGAATCGATGAATTTATTAGATTAACATTATTTTTTTAAATAGATCAAATCAAACTCAAAATTATTTTTTTCAATGGTCACAGACGACCCGTATAAAATTTCAGCGCTATCTCCGTATGAGTCGTTGAGCACAACCCAAAAAAAAAAAAGAACACAAAAAACCGCCATTTGTAACTTCCTTAACGGTCGCATACAAAACAAAGTGGGACCCACAAGAAGCCAAAAACGGAAAGTTTACACACTGAGAGTCAGATAGCTCTAAACAGTGAAAAAAGACTCGCTTTTTACAGTCCAAGATCTAATAATAAGATTCTCCATTTCCCAATGCCAAGAAGATTTCAGCTCCCAATCAATAATCGCCATTCTTCGTCCCTTCTTCCTCTTCTTCTTGCATGAAACACAAAAACGTCGTCGTCTCACCATCTTCTACCTCCTGAAAGAAAGAAAAACGTCGTCGTTTCAGTCTTCTTCTTCTCCTTCTTCTTCGTTCTGAAAGAAAGAAATTAGAAGCAAAAAAAAAAGGCCGTCGTTTCAGTCGTCTCTCCTCTTGATCTAGGGATTAGGAAGGAAAAGAAAAAAAACCAGAATGATCATTCTTCTCCGCCGCAAAAACGACATCGTTTCATCCTTTTTCTCCCTCTTCTTCTTCTCCGTCCTGATCTGCGGCGGCGGCTGCCCTGGCCGCATCTTCAGCTTCCGCATCTTCAGCTTCCAGATGCACCACCGCTTCTCCGACCCCGTCAAGCGGTGGTCCTCCGCCGCCGCCGACGTCCCGGAGAAGGGCAGCTTCGAGTACTACGCTCACTTGGCCGACCGCGACCGCCTCCTCCGCGGCCGGAAGCTCTCCGAACTCGGGAACTCCCCTCTCGCTTTCTCCGATGGAAACTCCACCGTCCGGATCACCTCCTTGGGATTGTGCGTTTTCTCTGCCCTTTTTCTTGATTCAATTTTTAGGGTTCTTGAATAATTAATCTAGGGATTGATAGTTTCTTTGAATCATTTTTAGTCTGCATTATACGACGGTGAAGTTGGGAACTCCGGGGACGACGTTCATGGTGGCGTTGGATACTGGAAGCGACCTCTTTTGGGTGCCCTGTGACTGCTCCCGATGCGCCCCTACTGATGCCACTTCTTATGCGCCGGTAAATTCTGTCTTTTTCTTTTTTTTTTCCTATCAATTTTCAAACTTTTTGGTTTCAATATTAATATTTGTAATTGTTCTTTTTTCTTTGTATCATTTGTATGTAGAACTTGTGAATGGATGTTGATATTTTGGTGTTTTCCCAATTGAGTAGGTAATTAGTGACTAGTGATTAATCTCTTATTACTAATATTAAGTAGGCATTTAATTTGAGTACAAAATTCCTACCATTAGTTGGAATTTGAAAAGAGAAAAAAAAATGCTAAGTGGGTAATGGGTTTTCTTTTATTTTTTCTGGTTTATGTTGTGGCTAGGATTCGAATATTAGATTTTGTGAAGTATATCTAATTTACCCATTGTTGGTCATAGAATGTTATTATACAAAACGTGCCGTGTCTATAAAACAATTAAGGATTAAAAAGTGTTAATTTCAAAAGGCATTGATGGTTATTAGGCATATATGCATGATTTTGATGGATCCATCTTTAATTCGTTTTATTGTGTGCCAGGATTTTCAGCTTAGCATGTATGACCCTAAGGGGTCATCAACAAGCAAAAAGGTCACTTGCAATGACAGTTTGTGTGTGCACCGTAGCCGATGCCTTGGAACTTTCAGCAGTTGCCCTTACATGGTATCTTATGTCTCAGCTGAAACTTCTACATCTGGGATATTGATAGAGGATGTCCTGCATTTGAAAAAGGAAGATAAGCATGAGGAACTTGTTGAGGCATACGTCACTTTTGGGTGAGTTCTGTTATCATCATTTAGTTTAATAACCAATATAAACATCAATTTCTTACATTTGTAGATAATGTAACATGAATTATGCAGTTGTGGACAGGTCCAAAGTGGTTCATTCCTTGATGTTGCAGCTCCTAATGGTTTGTTTGGGCTTGGGATGGAGAAGATATCAGTGCCTAGCATTTTATCCAAAGAAGGCTTTATTGCAAATTCTTTCTCCATGTGTTTTGGACAAGATGGAATTGGGAGAATCAGTTTCGGTGACAAGGGCAGTCCTGATCAAGACGAGACCCCATTCAATCTGAACCCATCACAGTAAGTGGTAATTTCTCCTGTACTTGATGCTGATAGTTACTGAAGCTGGAATTGTATCTTTGCATATTCTATACTGAAATCACGTCTCTTGCAGTCCAACTTATAACATCACTGTTACTCAAATTCGAGTGGGGACAAGCCTATTTGATGCAGATTTCTCAGCCCTGTTTGATTCAGGGACCTCTTTCACATATCTGGTTGAGCCAATCTATACAAGGCTTTCAGAAAGCGTAAGCACTTGAACAATGAAATGTGCCTCACCCCTGACTTAAAGGTTCATCATATTTTATTCTCACACATCTGCTGAAACTAAATTTATTTAATTTATGTTCTGTTGCAGTTCCATTCACAGGTTCAGGATTCACGACGTCCAACTGACTCAAGGATTCCATTTGAATATTGTTATGATATGAGGTCGGTTATTGTTTCTCATTCATATTTCCTTTTAGTTTCTACCTCCGAATCTAAGACTTTTTCTTGACAATGGGCAGTCCCGAAGCGAATTCCAGTTTGATTCCTAGCCTGAGCTTAACTATGAAAGGTGGATGTCAATTTGCTGTCTATGACCCCATTATTGTAATCTCCACACAGGTAAGTTTCTTTTTCCGTTATTCTGTTTTATTAAATAACCTGCAACATCTTCTTCTAAGTATGAATCTTACTAATGATTTGCAGAACGAAATTGTATATTGCCTGGCAGTTGTGAAGAGTGCAGAACTGAATATAATTGGACGTAAGTTTGTGTTGGTCAATCAGTCCTAATTTAAACGTTCCATAATAAAACATTGATTTGATGGTGTATTGGTGTTAATTCATGGGAAACAATCTCAAAATTTTATTTTTATGTAAAAATGGATTAAAATTTGTTCTAAGACTCTTATTGTTCTATTCCACCCATGTTTAGAAAAGAGTTGAGGTACACGCCAAATTAGGCCTTAACACTGATGAAGTTAATTTGCTTTCTTGTCTCGCAACATATCAATGTTTCACGGATCATTTACAAAGTTATTTCACCTTATTCTTCAATCTTTCTACAGAAAACTTTATGACTGGCTACCGAGTGGTGTTTGATCGAGAGAAACTCGTCTTAGGCTGGAAGAAATCTGATTGTAGGTGCCATGCACTTTTCAATTTGCACATGATGTTTTGCTATGTTTTTCTCTAATAAACTTCTTACTGTACGACTAAACTTTCCCTCATGCAGGTTATGACATTGAAGATTACAATAATTTCCCAGCAAAACCCAATTCTACCACTGTGCCTCCTGCTGTTGCTGCTGGACTAGGTAACACTTCCGTGCCAAAATCCAAAAAAGAGATGAGGAATAATCAGAACTCAAGGGGTTCCTCATCTTATCACTGCCATAGCATTCCAATGACTTGCTTCAGATTTCTCATCATTTTTTCTCTATTACGTTTTACATGGTCATGATTTTGTAGACCGCTCTTAGCCCCAGTAGGTTTTATATTTTAGGTTATATCTCTGTCCGATTATATTTCCACTTCATACCATGCTTGTGAAAATCTGGGATGACCTCTGCACCTTAGCGCATCGTCGATCCCTTTGGCGGGGCCACATACACGATACATGATACACCCAAAAACAAATAGTACCTGTTATGTTCCTTCCCTCTCTTCCTCCGCCGGGACATCTTCATCTAGCATAGGAATCACTACACTAGTGTTGTATATTATATTTTAAGAGATGGAACATCTTCTATTCTTTTAGCAGACAATAATGCTACACATGTTGTTAATAGCCTTTTACTCAATGACAAAAAGAATTTTTCCTCTTATGACACGCTCTTAGATCAGGAGTTTACAGAATTTAAACCTTTTTTGCTTCACTCATCTTAAATAGAGTCCATCTTTATTGGTGATTAATAAAAAGGAATGAAAAGAAAAAAAAAATTTGAAGTCAACACAGTGATTGGCTGTGAAATATCGGCATCTGTCTGTTGGAAATCTCCATCACTTATTAATGCCTGTTTAAAGCTGTTGGTGGGAAGAACCTAGTGGGATCACCCAATATTAAGATTTAGCCCTGAAGTCAGTCTTCTAGAAAACAAAGAAAAGGTATAGATGTTTAGTCCTTAGCAAGAAAAGGAAGAAATAAAAAATATATTAAAAAAAAAAAAGTAGTTGGTTATGTATTTAATAGATACTTGATTAAGTCCTTGCATTTTCTAGTCCATCAGGCGCAGTGATGTAACAGAAAAGCCTTGTTCTATTAACAACATCAATGAGAAAAAGAAATTGAGTTAAATGATATAAAGCTCTAAATGACCACAGGCTGAGTATAAATAAAACAGCTTAAAAAATTGATGACAATATCAACACAACAAGCACCAACTACTACTGTACACTTGGTCACTTGTTCAGCACCCATATGTGTCTCTCACGTGAAGTCTATAGGATACAGAACAAGAAAGTCAATGATTTATTATATGCAAACACCCTTTTTTTGGTTATCACTCAAGTGTCAAGGTCTTTGTTAGCATTGGTTAACAACCACAATAGTTGAAACTATAATTCCCCTTCTTTTCGTAGGTTCGACTCACAATTTAACCTTTTTGTTAGTGTTTTCTCTCTCACAAAAATTTAAATTTCAGTTTAAATTTTTCCACTCAAACCTATGTAAAGAACACTTTCGATAGCATGTGAAAGTTCTGGAGACGAGGGGAAGGCATATATATAAACTGAGGGCTTCAAAATTGAGAAGGATCTAGTGTTGGATTATGGTGATTGATAAGGACTTTGATTAGGATTTCATGAGATACCACCTTGTTAAGAAATGCCAAAAAGGAAGCGTACAGAGGCTTTTAGTTCCACTATTTCTTGTTATGTTTTTCCTTTTCCCTCTTTTATCCGCAAAGCTTTTGAAAGATATTGATAGCTACGGCTTCCAAATTTTCTTCTTACATTCGTTTGAACACATCATACATGGAATGAAGTTAAATTTTTAAGGACTTTGGTTAGCATCATGATAATGATAGTCATATATATATATATATATATAAATATGTTTGAAAGATATTGATAGCTACGGCTTCCAAATTTTCTTCTTACATTCGTTTGAACACATCATACATGGAATGAAGTTAAATTTTTAAGGACTTTGGTTAGCATCATGATAATGATAGTCATATATATATATATATATATAAATATGATATATATATATATATATGAATTTTCAATTGTCACGTTTTAATTGGTGGTCACTTATAAATATAAAAATTTGATGACATAACGTAAAAAGAATTTAGTTTTATTAATTGTCATTAATTTTTTTTATCAACTATCAATATATATATATATATATATATATATATATA